CTTTTGGCCCTGATGAAGGTGAGGTGAGGCATGGCAACAGTCGGCTTTGTTTTGATGTCTTCTTGGTGTGTTTCTGCCCTTTTAGAGAAGTTGTAGTCCTTTGTTAAGCTGTAATGTGGGCACTGTTTCATGCTTTAAGAAATAGGGTTAGCCAGTTCTCTTCTTTGCTTGAGTAATGTGTATGTGCGTTGCTGTTGTTGTGTGTTACTGGAGAATTCTTAAGTGGGTCTAACCGTGGTATCTGGTTGCACACAGTAAACTGGGTCACTGCTGAATTAAACCTCAGCGCCTCTGTTTCCAGTTCAGCTTCCCTGCTGCACCAGAGAAGGGCAGGTTTGAAATAGTCATAGCCACAGTGTCCACTAGAGCCCAGGCAGATGGGGAGAATCGGACTAGTGCCATGAACACAAGAAGTGGCACTGCAGATGCAGATAAAAGATATGCATAGACTAAAGGGGGACCGGTATAAAGCTAGTTGCATAAGAGATGTGAGAAGAACCAGAAAAGAGTGTGCTTCAGAAAACGATGTAAAGCTTGTCTCCCGAGCGGTCAAAACTAAATCCTGAATGCAGCTCTCTGTCTCTGTGCTGGAGTGGAGGAGGCCAAGAAAAAGAAATAATAAACAGGAAGAAAGAAGGGGATGATAAGAAAAATCTTGCTGCTACAGTGAGAAATTTATAAACATATGCTTGTCTAATCTTGCAAATGAGAAGCAGCAGAGAGCATGTACGGTATAAAGCAGAGGTGGGAAGCAGCACATTTGAATTCTGTTGTTTTTGTAAAGTTGCAGTCCTCCTGTCCCTATGGTTTCCCAGCGCTCTGCAGTGATCCCATAGCTCAACCTGCTGCATCCAGTCAGCTACACTCAAGGACAAACACACTTTCAGGGCAAGGGAATTAATATTTGATATGTAGCTCTGCATCATGTGGTGAGACAGTCAGTCAGGCGTACTAGTATGCACATCCAGGATGGAGTCAAAGCCATGAACAATCACTCTGCTGCAGTGCCACCAATCCAAAACAGAAAAGCTTGCACAGTTCTTAGAGTTTTAAACAGCAAAAACAAAATGTTGGGTGTTTGTTAGAATAAAAATGCATTGTTGATTTGATCAAAATAAAACCGTAATGATTGGCTAAGTTGCGCCTCATATGTGGTCACATCCTAGGGTCCTACTATATGCCATATCAATATTTGATCATCTAAAATGATTATTGCTAGTATGAGATGGAACCACCACAGTTTTATTCTTTGTTGTACATTGGCTGTGCAGTACACTGTGCTCTGCAGAAATGTCCTGTAGACTGGAAAATAGAGATACGGAAGTAACACATTTTTGTGTTGCAAAAGAACATGAAATGTTTCTGAGTTTGAGAATAACATCCCCTGAAAATTGAATTCTTGTTGCCTTCCAGTGTTTAACTTCCCACTATGCTGCAGTGATGTGGACATGTAAAAGTGTGTGTCATCTGTTGGGTCTGGTTACAGGTGCAGCAGAGCGCAACCTCTAACCACACGTGTCAGAGGAGAAACAGACTTAATAAAACCTGCTGTTCAGCCTGGAGCAGGGAGAACAGTGAACTGACTGCCATGCAGTAGGTTTAGTAGCACACTAATATGCAGTGACATTAGTTATGGAAGTCTACAGAGATGAACCAGAGATGTATTGATGAGGGGCCAGCTGGAGCTTGAGATGTTCTTTATGTAATGAATTTAAAACATTTTAAATGGAAACATTCTATATTCGTGTACTCTAAGCTTTTGGGAAGCAGAAATCAATACACCACAGATGGACATTTTTATGTCCAGTGCAAGGTTTAAATTTGAGTGCACATAGTGCTGCTCTCAGTTTGAGGGCACAGTATTCAAATCATGTAAAATTGATTTGGAAAAAAAGAGTGATTGATCTTTTAAGGAAGCATCATTATCTCTATATTACTGCACTGTGAAATAATGCAAACAGCATAGTTGGAGGGAAGCTGCCTGTCTGACAGTGAGTGTAAAGGACCATGATAACAGGATTTTAAACTTGTACTGTCAGTTCCATCAGCTTACTACCCATGTTGGATCCAGCAGGTTATCCTCAACAGTTTGTATGTAAAATATTTTTGTTCCTGTGTGTTTGCTACAAAATGAAAAACTTGTCAGCCAGTTTCAAACATAATCCATGTAAAGCACTTTAAAAAACACTTTTATTGAGAATTACATAACTAGAGCAGAAATCCAGTGTAATTTCATGAGCTGAAGTGATATCAATGCTTCCCAAAAGGCCCTGAGGTTGTGTAACATAATCAGTATTGTGGGCTTTCCAAGGTTTATAGCAGACTGAAGCGCATGCTGGATTGATTTCACAGCAGCTTGAGGTGGCACAAAAGGCAGGGATCACACCGAGTGTGTTTGTGAGGCTGTACCAATCATGGCACAGCAAAGCACACGGGTAAATGTCTCAATCTTATAAAGTGTGTAATGTAATTAGTTTACTAATTTAACACAGGAGAAACTTTTAATCTTTTAATTTATGCTGGATAACGGGTCGTTTCTACTTCAGACTATGTGTACATGTTCACAAACGCAGTCCGAAGCATGGTTTTTTTTTTGTTTTTGTTTTTTTTTGCCTCAGGTCCAGGTTTATGCATGTAAAATCAGTGACTGTGCACTGCACTCACAGCACTTCCAAAGTGTGAATGTGATGCTCAGTACACTGCCGTGCGCCTCCTGAATGGACACGCACAGCACTCAAGCTGTGATACGCCTTCTGTGGAGACGCTGTGCTGAAGCAACACTTATAGCATGGTTAGAATCTTCTCTGAAATAAGGGTTGGAATAAAGTCACATGATTTGACTCAGGTCACAAATTGATGGCCTCAGACTTGATGAAAGCCATTAAACTTCTAGGTAGACACTGCTGATTTGAAAAGAAGAGAACAGATGTTAAGGTTAAGCAGCTTAAGCAGGATATTTTTTGGAGAAATGCTGTATTATCAGATGGAGCTGGAACTCTTGTAACGGCCAGCCCACCAGTTTGGTCACTCTTATTTCCTTTCATCCTCTTAACAGGCCTCTGACAGTTTTCTAAAGTAACATCATTAACATGAGTTTTCTGAGATTTTTGATGAAGTCAAGCTCAGGATGTGTCAGACTCCAAATGATTTCACTGTGTGTGTTTCTCCTGCAGATGATGGGAAGCTGTCTCTGGATGAGTTCCAGGCTTTTTTCGCTGATGGCACGCTGAACGAAGAAGAGCTAGAGAAGCTGTTTCACACCATTGACTCTGATAACACCAGGTCAGCGCTATTGCATGGCGGGTGTGTGTGTGTGTGTGTGTGTGTGTGTGTGTAAATAGCTGTGTAGCTGCATACAGTACTTGTACTGCACATTTGTGCATGTGTTCACTCTACTGTGAGTTTAGTGTTTGATCACATCTCACTTTTATTTATGAAAAAGGGGGAGATGTACACATCTACTTTCACTCCAGCACAGCCTCAGACTTTCAGATTGGTGTGTGTGTGTGTGTGTGTGTGTGTGTGTGTGTGTGCATGCTTTGGTAAAACATATAGTATGTAATTTATTCTGCAGCCAGGAAGTGGCACATCCAGTTCTGAAATCATTTTATGAAGAACCCTTTGTACCAAAGCCCTTTATATTAAGTGACAATTGCAATATGAAAATGACAAAACTAAAAAATAAATAAATAAATAATAGGAGAGGAGACAAAGTGGGGGAAATATAGTGAAAGAAGAGTGGAAACTAAGGTCCACTTTTTTAATGGTTTCGGATCACACTTCTTGTTCTGTGCTTTTAGTTTGGTTTGCATTGCCAGTCTGTGCCGCCTCACCTGTCCCAGCTTTACCTCAGTTCTAATCACTGCTTATCATTCTCACCTGTCACTCATTATCAGCTGGTTCTCTGCACATATATACTCCTCTTTTTACCTCTGTTACTTGCTGGTTCATTGTACTTGGTACGCTGTACGTTGCCCATTGCCTGTTCGTCTCAGCAGCTACGCTCTATGCATCTTTGTCAAGTTTTTTCCCATCTCTGATTCTCCTGTTCACTGCCCATTGTTTTTGTTCGCCTGAGCCCTGGATCTAGATTAATTCTGCTTCTAGGCTGACAGGTTCAAGTCAAATCAAATTTTATTTGTATAGCACCAAATCACAACAAAAGTCACCTCAGGACACTTTACAAAGTAAGGTCTAGTCCTTACTATTATCACTATTATTACATAGGGAAAACCCAACAAATCCCCCTTGGTGACAGTGGGGAGGAAAAACTCCCTTTAACGGAAGAAACCTCCGACAGACCCCGGTTCTTGGTGGGCGGCCTTCTGCCTTGACCGGTTGGGGTGAGTGGATAGAGGAGAGAGAAAAGAAGAAAAGCAACAAGACACAACAAACAATCAAACACTGGTCAGGTTGATGTGGCTGGTGACTGCTCATCAGAGATGTAGAGCTCCAGGGCCAGGGCAACCTGCAGAAAGGTACAGGGAGAGAGAGAGGACACACTACGGGAGAGAGGAGACACAAAGTTAGTGATGTGTAATGGTGGCATAGAGATGCATGGAGGGAGAGGAGAGGAGAGGGGAAGAGAGAGGAGGGGAGGGGAGGAGAGGAGAGAAACTCAGAGCATCATGGGGCCCCCCAGCAGCCTAGGCCTATAGCAGCATAACTAAGGGAAGGCTCAGGGTCACCTGATCCAGCCCTAACTATAAGCTTTATCAAAAAGGAATGTCTTAAGTCTAATCTTAAAGGTAGAGAGGGTGTCCACCTCCTGAACTGAGACTGGGAGTTGGTTCCATAGGAGAGGAGCTTGATAGCTAAAGGCTCTGCCTCCCATTCTACTTCTGTGGACTCTAGGAACCACAAGTAAACCTGCACTCTGAGAGCGAAGTGCTCTGTTAGGATGATAAGGCTCTACGAGGTCTTTAAGATACGATGGAGCCTTGTCATTAAGGGCTTTGTATGTTAGGAGAAGGATTTTAAATTCTATTCTGAATTTTACAGGGAGCCAGTGGAGAGAAACTAATATGAGAGAGATATGATCTCTCTTGCTAGTTCCTGTCAGTACTCTGGCTGCAGCATTTTGGATTAACTGGAGGCTTTTTAGGGAATTATTGGGACATCCTGATAGTAAAGAGTTACAGTAGTCCAGCCTGGAAGTAACAAATGCATGGACCAGTTTTTCAGCATCACTTTGAGACAGGATGCTCCTGATTTTCGCAATATTGCGCAGGTGAAAGAAGGCAGATCTAGAGACATGGTTTGATAAAAGCAGAAATGACAGTACAAGTGTTTCCTGTTGAAGCAGGAAGTTCATGGATGGAGAGGTTGTGTTTTTTGTTCTTGGTTTACATACTGCCCAGACATTTTCTGTTTGGTTATCCCTGTGAGTTTGTTTGTCTTGGAGATGATTGGGTTGAGTCACTGTTTGCTTCTGTTGCACTTCCTTTTTTGTTAATAAACCCCATGAACTACACTCCTGCTCCCTCGTCTGCACTTTGGGTCTTACCTAGCCAGTAATTCCTTAAAAATTTTAAACGTTGTTATATCTCTCAGCCTTTTTCTTTCACTTTCTTTCATCATTTAGTTTTACATTTGTCATCCTGACCCTCCAGGACATCAACCTTTTCATAGCTACTGCCCCCTGGGACATTCTGTTTTGATTGGCGCTCATTGAATCAATTAATCGGCCCTTTATAATCAGCCAGTCAGCTCATAGTGGCGGCAATCAGGAGAAGTGTGCTGACGCAGTGGAATCTAATCAAAAGGCAGACTCTGTTAATTCACACATCCTTCCAATCCTGCGGAGTCTACAATAAAATGAAACCAAGCAGAACAAGAGCTGACCTTTATGGTTGTTGTGGAATTGAATTAAGTTCGATATATAAATCCTCCTCCAGGTTCATCCATTAGTGAGAGATTTGTTGTTTTTTTTTAAATCAGTGCCGTAAGTGGACCATGCACTTGCCTCTGTCCGTCTGACATCAGCCATTTTGGAAATGGATGCACTTTATAAATCCTATTCGCTGTAGTTGATACAGTCAGAAAAGTCTGTGCTTATTAGAGTTAAGTACACTTAGCAGCCACATGCCAGGCCTCAGCAGTGTCCTGTGACAGCAGATAAGGTTATTAAATGGTTTAAGTAAACGCAGAAATGAAATGTAAGCGTTTCCTGTTGAAGCAGGAAGTTGATGGATGGAGAGGAGGGATGGAGCAGGCAGAGAGTGAGTGCTGTCCTGCTTCCAGTCATTCATCTATCTGTCTCTGCCATTCTTTTGTTTCCTCCCATCTCCAGCTTTCTTCCCTTATTGGGCTATTTTCTGAGGCTTCTGTTTTTGCTAGGCTGTTCTTGTTTCCATCATTCTAGC